CCGGCAAAGAAAAGCCAACCGGTTCGATGCCGTAGGTCCAAAACTAAACGTGGGCCTGTTGAACTAGAGCTACTTCACATGTTAACAAGTGACTGTAAAGTTTCTACAATGATGAAGGCCGTTTGAATATAAATAAAGCAGCAGGAGCATAAAACATCCACGTTAAACATTCTGCCTCAGAAAACAACCTCACAATCCTCTAGTGCAGCGAGGACGTTTCTATTTCTAGGCTCTGCTTCACAGGAAGTGAAGAAAAAGGATTCTGGTTTGTTTTGGCACAGAGACTCAAAGGCACAGCTCACCTCTTTGTCCCATCCACAGATCATGCTTCCCATAGAGAGGCCCATGCCTCTGTAGCCCAGCATCATGTTGCACAGCAGCTTGGAGGCAGCAGCCACAGAGATCCTGTGGTTGCTCCTCAGCCTGTACAGCCTGGAGGGACCAAGTCACCAAACAAATGAAACATCAATCAGGGTTGTTTCCAGGGTCGACCTGTCACCTTTCATTTTACACGCATGTCCGTCCAAAATATCACCACTGCATCATTTCACCGTTACACATTTGTGTGTTGTTATCTTTTGCTCTGGATACTTGATTAAAGTTGTTTTGTGAGGTCAGTGATCAGTTAAGCCTTGAGCTTTACTCACCTCTGCATGGAACACATTTTAGTATCAATTCACAGACACACAGAGCATTAAATGTCAGAATGGACAGATTGATGTTCAAAGCACTGCAGACCGACCTGCATTCTTTGGCCAGGAGTCTCTCCCAGTACTGGCAGTCTGCAGCGCTGCCCGACATGGTGCCCAGCAGGTAGGGGTTGATCTCTATCACCTTGTTGACGTCGTTGGACGCTGCAGAGCGGGACACATTTGTGTAAAGAAGACATTCTGTGAGCTCAGAGTTTCTCTCGTTGCCTCATTTACTTTGTATTGTTCTGTGTTCCTCTGTGTTACATTTCAAAGCTCCACACATCTGTGATATGATGCATGAGAAATAAAAACGTGTCTACCCAAGTAACGGCCTGCTGAGGCTCTGGAGTCCACAGCCACAATGACTCCATGTCTGAACTTGAAGGCCAGGGTGGTCGTCCCGTGGTTCAGGTCTATACTCACACCACCATCACGGCTGCAGGTTCCTAGAAACCCTGAAGGCTAAAATAGAAGCAAAGAGGAGATCTCAGTGGGTGGAATCACGCGTGTAGGTGCAGTGTGTGTGTCTATGTGTGTTATTCCACAGTAACGTGTAAGATGAATGCATCATTTGAAGCTGCAGGAGAAGCGAACGCGACCACAGACGCGTAAAAGACGTTGAACCACCGCGCGTCTGACGCGTCACGCTTGTTGCATCAGGATCACCTGATACGATGCAGACTTTTCATTTTGTAGCAAAACTCGGTGAAATGAGACTCACGTCTACACCCAGAGGGACAGCAAATTCCTGCGTTTTGGTCCCGAAGTTGTAGTGGTTGGTTCGGTCGAAGAGATGCGTCTGTCTGGCTGGAAGAATCTGCTCACGGAGTTCAGCATAAGACTTCAAACCAGATACTTGGAAAAGAGCCATTATGTATTCGACTATATTGTAATTATATTCTGCTCTTTAAGTTGTACGAAATGACGAAAGTCTCTGAAGAAGCGTCACGGATAACTTCCTGGGAAGGGACGATGAATTCGAAAGTGAAAGGTTTTAAAAGCTGTTTTATTGTAAATAAATGCTAAAAGAGCCAGCTAGCTACATAAAACCAACAAGTATACACGAATACGTTCAGCTGGTCATCATATAACTTATAACCTGATTTGATAGAAACAAATAAAAGAAAACTGTGGTTAGAACTGTGCTGTTAATAAAAACAACGCAGCTCGCATCGACCAATAGGAGAGCACTGTGTGTGTGTCGTCATCAGTCACTAAGCGAGAAGCAGCGATCAGGTTTGGAGAAGCAGCAGAGGTCAATGACGTCATCAATGCGTGTTCTAAATTCATATTTATAACAATACACTGTATCTACTGTAGTCGGGTTGATGGGGTGTTAGTATATATAAATGCACTGCTTTAGGCTTGAAAAATTAAATTTATATTATATTCAGTAGATCGTTTCAAAATATGAAAATAAACAGCAACAGGGATGGAATAGAATTTCATTCATTTTGAATTATTCTGACACATTTTATAGTTTTTTATGTGGTCTGAAATACAATAGACGAAACAGTCTGCCTGTTTCATGTATTTCTGTCACCTCACAGTGAAGAATAGAAACCATGACAATGTTCATTAACTGATTTTCACTGCTTGCATTTTATTTTTTAAGTGCATGACCAAGCAACACAATAAAAGCCTTCACACTTTTCTGCTAAACGTGTTGTTATAAGGTGTGACTGCATCGCGGATCAGGCTGTATCCATCCGCTGCACAGTCTCCTCTACAACCTCCAGCTTTACAGGGACTACTTTCTCCGTCAGAACCGCTGTTGTGCCTGCACCATATTTGTATTTTGTTTTCCTAGAATAGAAGAATAGATGTTAGAGGGATTCAATAACTGAAAAGCAAACATGTTATTGTATAATCACATACAGTCTGATATCTACTGCTCTGAGAGGGAAACCTTTAAAGTCGCAGTGTGTGGAGTTAGAGGTATTTATGAAGAAAGTAAATGTAGTATTCATAGCATGTTCACTGAAGTATAATCACCTGAAGCTAAGAATCATGTGTTTCCTCAAGCTCTGAATGAGCCCTTCATATCTACAGGAGCGGCTCCTCTTCATGGAGTTCCATGAGCAGCCATGTTTCTACAGACTGAATACTGGCTCTAGAGAGCCGTCCTTGTTTTACATCATTTGACTCACTTGGAAAGGAAGGGAAACAATCTGCAGCCTCATCACCAGAGACTGAATCCTGCACACAGCTCCTTTAAGAATCGACCCATGCAGCAGAACTCAGTCACACTCGTACCTTTTGTCTTTGTACTGTGACACCTGGTACGGTCTGATGTGGTGCACTCCTTCTCTGGTGAGGACACAGATGTCGATGTTGTTGCCTGAGGCGAGGTCATTCATGACTCCCGCGTGGATGGCGGCACGCACCAGCTCCTTCGCCTTGTCCAGCTGAGAGTTACAAGAATTCAGGGAAAAGACAGAGAGAAATTCCCCAAATAACAGTTTTTATATTTTGTCATCCAATAGTGACAGAAATAAATGCTTTTTTAAAACATTTTCCATATTATCCTGACTATCAATCCTTGTCACAGTGTGTAACAACAGCTGTCCAGGAGGCGTACCTCCAGGTCGGGTTTGTACCCGTCCTCTAGAATCCCCAGAGCAGCCAGATCCCCAGAGCCTGCAGGAGGAAACACACATGTGGTCTGAGAGGGAATCGGTTGAATGAGTCCAGCAAACTCAAATGTTATTCCAAACGGTGAATGTTATAGAGCCACGATGCTTAGAGAATATTGTTCCATCACACACGTACCCATTGCAAGGTACGGCATCGTATTCACGCTGCCGTACGGCCCCACCGTGTACAGGTGGTTCCCAGCGCAATCTACTCCTCCCAGTATAAGACTGGCCCCAATTTGGCCGTGATACCTGAGGAACACACGGATCAGAACAGGGCTTTTAACGGGTACTTTAACTCATTCACACACCGTTGGATACAAGCTCATGTGCTACACAAACCTGTACAACATCTCCTGGAGTATGTTGACGGCCATGACGACACGAGGGTTCCTCCCGCTGTTCAGGGAGAAGATGGTGAGGTTGGAGGAGAGGAGCTCAGTGGTCTTCTCTGTATCTGCTGCTGTTCCTGCTCCACAACAACTAGGAGGAGAGGAAGGAGTGTTTTGTGAATAGAGAGTTGAGGGAAAATATGACAAAAAGCTACAGGGAATTGGGAACGAGAGAGTAGAGGAACTGCGGCATCCTTTCAGAAACTGTTTTGCTTCAGCAGTCATAGAAATCCATTATACCCAAAGAGTCGCAGCGACTTATTCCATCTCCTGCAGTAGCCTCAATAGTGCAGAATGCACCACAAGAACATGAACCTAAGTTCTTAATCTGAGGGCACTAAGGCATTCTGGGATATGTAGGAAATCACAAGTAAAGGAGACTTATGTCCACAAAAAGGAACATACGTTTCATTCTGATAACAGTGAGAGTATTTTAAAGGTGGATCTCCTGTTACTTTCAGTGTGTCGTATACAGGACTTACTATATATTTGGAGCAATGTAATGGATCTTGGCGCACATCTTGTCAGCCACTACTTCACTGGATGTGGCTCTTGTGTCTGCTCCCAGAACCACTCCATCCTGCACCCACACACACCGAGCGGGAGGTGTGTTACTCTAATTGTTATACAATTATACACTTTGCTTTACACTAGAACAAGACATTTACATCTCAGTGGTCCCACTGGAGCTAAACAGGCCCCAGCAGTGCTGTGATACACTGGGCAGATCCCCTCAGTGTATTTATGTATTCATCATCATTGTTGTTAACACGGACTGTCCTGTTCAGTTATGCAGAGATGACAGGGAAAGGAAACAGTGTGGTCGACTTTAACAGGGTTAAATAATGCAATTCAGGGTAAATGCAGATGTACACAGGTGTGTGTACTCGCCTTGAACACCACTCCCGCTATGGTGGTGCCTGTTTTCACAGGTTTAGGTATCTGTGCATCAAACAGACCCTCTAACTCAGCATTCCTGGAGAGGGAGGGAGAGACAGGGGTCAACTTATTAATGTATGTAATATATATATAATATGGACAAATAATCACCAAGTCGTTTCATTGATCAACGTGACAAACAAGCAGGGAAAGTTACTTTCACTTTGCATCTCAAATGGATTGAAAGCTGCGTGAGTAACACAGCTTCATTGGTTTTTCTATCTAAGTCACAATCTGCTGCCTATGAGCCAAACAGAAGCTCCTACCTGGCTGCGTGGTCGAAGTTGAACCCCGCTGCAGGAGCGTGGAGGACATTTGATAGCGCCATAGTGGATCCTGGTCTGCGGCTCCTCTGCGCGTCTCGATGCGCCTGAGGTCGCTGTTCGGAGCGTCGCCTCCTTCTTCTCTTTCGGTTTTGCTGTGAAAATGGAGAAACGCAGCGTGGACTCGCGGGTCAGAGGAGTCAGCACAGGGGTGAGTAAACCCGGACCGGCTCCTTAGTGTCACCGTACAACCCGCTGAAGGATGAAATGATCGATACGTGATTCTGCGGATGAACAGGTGAGACTTTAAGTTACCTGAAAGGAAACCAAACACTACGAGGACCGGACCTGTCGCGTGTTTTAACATCCCAGGTGTTTGCACGTTGGACCTGAACGAGTCACATCTGTACAACATCTTCTAGAACGGAATATGCAGAAAAGCGACAGGCTACACATTTATTCTGTTTAAAAAAATCCGCCCAGAAACTCTAAATCCCATGATGCATAGCGGCGGCGCTCAGAGTTGCTGACATGGACACGTAAGCCTCCTGCTGCGTTTGGCTTGATGTAACTACTTATTCATTACTTGCATGTGAGAACACCCCCCCCTTCTCTCCCCCAGACCACCATCCTGGCTGCCACTTTTGATGGAGGGGTTGTGATTGGTTCAGATTCCAGGGCTTCCATTGGAGGGTGAGCGTGCTGGGAAGATACACTGCAGATGCCGACATTGTTAAACATATTTGTAGGAAACAGGAATGTCGCTGTGACTGTGGTGGAGGAACACAACCGAGGGCCGGTGATCCAAGTCTCTTCATCACATTCCTCTCTCTCTCTTCAGGGAATATGTGTCATCTAAGACCATCAACAAGGTGGTCCAGGTTCATGACCAGATCTTCTGCTGCATGGCCGGCTCACTAGCAGATGCTCAGGCCGTCACCAAGGCTGCAAAGTTCCACCTGTCCTTCCATAGGTGCCACACACGCATATCAATACAATAGCACATGTTTAGCAACTATGCGCACAAGCAAGTCAGCTGAATCACATTTTCACATCATTCATTAAAATAATAATTTGTTAATCATATTTTTATTCCTCCAAGAGGAGAAGACAGTTGACAGAGTTGTGTGCAAAACCAACTAACAAACTAGTTGTTACACTGACAGCTATAAAAAAATCATTAGAGAGCCCAAAATAATAGTTTCAAAGTCTCTTCATCGTGGAAATGACCCCCCCCATTCCACAGTGTCCAGATGGAGACCCCTCCACTGGTGATAGCAGCAGCATCGGTGCTGCAGGAACTGTGCTACAACAACAAAGAGGAGCTGCAGGCGGGCTTCATCACAGCAGGCTGGGACAGGAAGAAGGGCCCTCAGGTGGGGGCTGGTCGGGGTGACAGTCACACAGGAAGCAGAGACACAGCGGTCCAAAGTAACTCCACCTACTGGCGTGTGGCTGCAGTCCTGATACCCTGCGTCCCTCTCCAGGTGTACGTGGTGCCTCTTGGTGGGATGTTGGTCGGTCAGCCGGTGACCATCGGAGGCTCAGGCAGCACCTACATCTACGGCTACGTCGACGCCAAATACAAACCCAACATGAGCAGAGAGGAATGCCTGCAGTTTGCCACTAATGGTACTGTCGTGTTCGTTTACTTGAGCGCGCAGACCTAAATACGCTGATACTTGTTTTGTGTTTTTTGGGGGGAAATTGGGTTGTGATTCTACGATTCCAGTATAATGCAGAAAATGAGAAGAAGTCTTTGTTGGTTGTTTGCTCGGTTTGTTACAGTTAAAAATGAAAAACACTCAATTTGAGGGCAACCACCGCTCAGATGGGTCAAAGGCCTCTGGTTGCACTCAAATTGGGTGGTTTGATGTACATCTATGTTGTAGTTGGTGCCCATGCAGCCTTTAGGAGGTGTATAAACGCTGCATGCTGCTTACCGTCAGTTGTTAAACCTTTATTTGTCCTGCTTGCTGTCCGTCCCCCCCCTGCTCTGTCCTCCCTTTGCTTCTCTCTGGGTCACAGCTCTGGCTCTCGCCATGGGCAGAGACAACGTCAGCGGAGGCGTGGCTCACCTTGTGGTCATCACGGAAACTGGGGTGGAGCACGTGGTTGTCCCCGGCAACAAGCTGCCCAAGTTTCACAACGAGTGACAGCGTCCAACAAACAATGAATTTTTGACTTTTGTTTTTTATTTTTATGTCAGTAACTGTTTGAAATTCATGATCCACAATCTCATCAATAATGTACCGTATAGGACTGGGATGTAACACACTACACACACACACACACACACACACACACACACACACACACACACACACACACACACACACACACACTCCTTAAGAACAAGATGATGAACATGATTAGTTTACTGCCAATGGCAAATTGTAAATGTGGAAACAGTGATGATAAGTTTCATTGATCTGGTGAAACTAGTTGTTATAAAATCAATATCCTAAAAAATGACAAAATGCTACTTCCATCTCTTGTAATTAACGGCTCCATCAGCCTTTTACTTCTTCCAGATCACATTTTGTGTAGTTGATTTTACATGTTTGGGAATATTTGAAATATAAATGAAGATTCTACTTTGTAAAAATGGTTTGTACTACTTTCTATTTGTTGAGCGCTTTAAAATATATTCATCATTATTATACGACGTGTTCTACAAATGACCGTCCTTGTTTCCTGAATCAGTTCATAGTTTGAATGTACTCGGATGCAGAGCGTTGGTTTTGACTATTTCATGGCTGTGGATTCACTTTGTGGCCCACAATCTAACAGTTAGTACGTCACACAGTCTGAAACGCACTTAAACACGAGTTCGTCATTTAAAAGTGTCGGAGGGACCAGAATAAAAAGACGCAGTCCAACATGTGTCAATACAATCAATCCAGTTCATGTTCTGCTTTCTGTTTAGAGCTCTGTCGTCCTCCGCTGTAGCTGTAAAGCTTTTAAATCAATTATTTGATGGAAAGAAAATGTATTGGATGTTATCTGGATTGTGAAAAAACACTTTATGGTTGTAGCTCCATTGTTGTTGTTCCTCCTTTTACTCCTTTACTTTTATTTATTATAATAATAGTGAGTGACTCCCCACACTGGGGTCCTTTGGCGTTGCTACAGCTAACAGCTAACCGTCTGTCTCCAGTGTCTTCGGGGACGTCTGGTAACGTGTCCCCTTAAACTGGACCCAACCAACGCGTATCACCACCTGACCAAGAAAGGGGGCTTCACACCTGTTAAGCAGGAGACTTTGCTCCCCAGGAACGGAGCCCTTAACTCAGCCGACCTGCTGTCCTCTTGGACAGATGGTCCCCTGGAGGCCAGAAGTGAGGCAGAGAGGCTGCTGGGTAGCTGGTAAACAATAAAGTCATCTCAATCGATTCTCTTCCTACACTCAGCTACACTCGCTGTACAATAAATACGTTTGTCAGAGGTCAACTATCTATTCTTTCTAGTTCTATCATACTGCAAAAAAACGTTCTTCTTGTTAATCAACATTTATTGCTGTGATGAGTTATTTACACGTTTCATAACACTTTTATAAAGGCTTTGAAAACTGATTTGGTCCCCCCCCTCAAAGAGGACTCAATGTTCGCTGAGTTTAAGTGCATTTCAGTGCAAATCGGGACACACTGTCCGTGTTTGCAGCTCGTTGCAGGAGGAACAACTTCACTTTCAATTTCGATTTGATTGAGGACAACATGGAGTCCGTGTGACGTGCGGACAAACGCGTCGAGAACACGTCCAGAGACTCAAAGAGGCTCCCCGAGGAAAACGTCGTAAACCCGGACTGCTCGAGTCAACGTTTGGCTCAACATCGCTCGGTCGGTACCAGAAGCGGATCAGCATGTTGCAGGAGACGGGGACGGAGTGGTTGTCTCAGGAGGTGAAGACCGGAGTAAGTAGACGTCCTACACGTCGGAGACCGCGCCGAGAACCGCTGCATATGAACCCTGAAGGACCTCTACCTCTGTTTGCAGACCACCATCATCGCCGTAGAGTTTGACGGAGGGGTCGTGCTGGGGTCTGATTCCAGAGTGTCTGCAGGGTGAGCTCGCGCGTGCGCGTGCGCGCCTACTTGCGTCTGCATGCGCGGTCCAGTTCTACCTGCATGATACCGCCTCTCTCTCTGAGGAAACATAGTATTATATGTGTTAGATAGTATTTGCATGAATGCTTACTGACACTAAATCCTTCCACCTGTTCGTCTTTAACATGCAGTGTCACTAGTTTAGACATTTTGGATGATTAGAACGAAATTACATCATATATGTTTTTCTTACAACATTTGGATCCACCAATGTTGCTGGATGGACACATGGAATAAAATAATAGTGGCTACTGTAACAGGATAGTCTGCTAGACAAGTACACTTAACTGTGGGCTATCAGATGGTTACACGTAGAACTACGGAGCCTTAAGGAATAAATGTCAGCAGAGAAAGTTCACACAATGAAGACACTGGAATCAGAGGGTAGAATTCTATAGAGTAGAAATGAAGTGCTGTCAGCGTTGCATGCTGGGTGTTGATTGTTACTGAGACAATGACACACAGCTGAGCTTCCATCCAGAAATACAAAAAGTAGCAGGGTGCAGATGCATTCGCACAAAGCCAAACTCCCCCTGTTCCTCCCTCCCTGCAGGGCGTCGGTGGTGAACAGGGTGATGAACAAGCTGTCTCCCCTCCATGACAAGATCTACTGTGCTCTGTCCGGCTCTGCAGCCGACGCTCAGACCATCGCCGAGGTCGTCCACTACCAGCTCGATGTCCACAGGTGAAGACACATTCAGTACCACGGTACAGCGTTTATCTTGGGCTGTTTTCATTGGATATCCTGTTTCCTCCCTCCGTCAGTATCGAGATCGATGAGGACCCACAGGTTCGCTCAGCGGCCACTCTGGTGAGGAACATCTCGTACAAGTACAAAGAGGAGCTGTCGGCCCATCTCATCGTGGCCGGCTGGGACAGAAGAGACGGGGGACAGGTCAGTAAAAACATGGCAGAGATTCAAGCCATAAACAAGAAAGATTACCGGGGCATGTTAATGATGTCAAAATGAATGTCTGCTACTTGGGCTAAAGTGGCGTTAAGGTTGCACATCAAAGATAAAATCCCATCCAGCCAACAGATATGATGTTACAGGAGTCCATTCATCTGACTTGCTCCTGTCTGCTCCTGTGCCCTTTGACCTCTCCCAGGTGTTTGCCACCCTGAGTGGTCTCCTGACGAGGCAGCCCTTTGCCGTGGGCGGCTCTGGAAGCTCATATGTTTATGGGTTTGTTGATGCTGAGTTTCGCCGAGGCATGAGCAAGGAGGAGTGCCAGCAGTTTGTTGTCAACAGTACGTTGGTTTTCTCCACACAAAGATTTTTTTTTCCTCAGACGGTTTATTTGAATGTGAAAGAGACACCAGACATTTGCTTCCTACTGACTGCTTGTTTTATTTATGTGAGGTGACACATGTTGTCTAATAAAACCTCTCCTCTCCTTCCTCACGCCTTCTCTCCTCTTCCTCTTGCAGCTCTGTCTTTGGCGATAAACCGCGATGGCTCCAGTGGAGGCGTGGCCTATATTGTGTCCATTGATGAACACGGCACGGAGGAGAAAGTGGTTCTAGGAAATGACTTACCCACCTTCTTTGACCAGTAACACTTCCTATTTCCTATTTCCTCGTCTCTGGTCTGCCAAGCTGCTGCTGTGCGGGATGCAACTAGTTTTTCAGTTTGCTCACAATACTTTGGTTCTTCTGTCAGCTCATGTAGCTTATCAACTAGAAAAGCACCACATCAAAATACTTACTAAAACGTTTAATTCAAATAAAATCATTGCATGGCTCTGTGATACGCTATGTCATTAAAAATCTAAAAGTAATTTGTGGTTCATTATTTAGATAATTATAACAAACAAACTCTTATTTGGTCAATTAAGAGTAATGTTTTATTTAGTTGCCGACAGATGTGTGCTTTTGAATGGCCGAAGCCAATATGGGGAGAGAAAGGCTGATACGTCTTTGCTGTTATCTAGTTTTTGCATCTGATTAAAGAAAACAATTGTATAACAATAACACATTAAACACATTATTTAAGGCCTTTACAAACTGATTGTCTAGCAAATACATGAAACAATGTTTTGTGGGTTTTATTTTGAAGGATAAGAATGGAGGGCAAAAAAGTAAAAGTAAATAAAAGAGGTATTTAGTGTCACAAGCATCTAAAGAGTCAAAGTCAAGTTTGTTATTCACATTATTATTCCCTCTTATCTTCACTGCTAATCAGACTAAAGTAAGAAGCCTAAGCGGTTGATTGTTGGTCATTCTGCTTAAAAATAAGTCTACATGCTTTCTGATTATACTTTATCGTTTTTTAATATGATTTTCTTTTATGTGCAATTTAAAAAAATGCCTGTGTGATTTACTGTTTTTTTTATGTTTTTATTTACAATGAATGGCTTTGGACTTTAATGCTGGTGTAATGTTCTGGTGAAGTTAGTGATAATAAAAGATAGTTTACATGTGTAACCCACTCAGTTTAGGAACCCTAAATAGTTCTATAGGGAGCCGTTAGGATTTCGGGGACACCAGACAATGAAAGTGAAAGTGGACCAAACATCAGACTGCAGCGACAGAGAAGGTTATGCAGACGACTGTAGCTGCATGACGACAGCCGATATGGCAAAAGTAACCGGCAAAGGCATCGCTTTGGTGTCCGCAGTCTGCGTGGACCTGTCCTTGTTTTACGCAGCGGGACTGGTGGCGACTCGCAGCGTGTTTGGACACTTTGCGCGTCTCTGGCTCCACGCGGCTCTCCGCTGCTCGGCACTGAGCGCCGTGACTCTGCTCACCCTCGGAGATCTCAACCCGTTGCTGATCCGCGTTATCGCGTCGCACAGTCTGCTGCCCGCGGTGTTTGAGACCGGAACCAAAGCGCTCTACCGCGAGGAGACCGAATGCGGCCCGTCGGCGGATGCGCGCTGCTGGCTCGTTTGCGCCGCAGCGTCGCTGGTCGGTGCGCTGTTTTGGGAAATCAGCGTGCCGGACGCGGAAGATGCTGCCGCCGGTAAAGAGAAGAAACAGAAGGCCAGAGTGCTGTTTTTGAGAGTCCTGGCCTTGTACAAACCCGAATATCTGCTGCTCCTTGGGGGGCTGCTGATGCTGACGCTGGCAGTTTTGTGTGAGTATCGGCCTACGTCACAGGATGAGGATGAGGATGTCATTCCAGTACAGGATTCACGTTATCATCTACTAATGAGTAAATAACTCCTGTTCCAGTGCACTTCAGGCCCCTTTAAAGAGATGCTAAGACTGAGCATCTCTTTAAATTGGACTAAACTCACAACTATGAACATTGTTTAACTTTTTAAAAGGTCATCATCCTTATTTTCAGATATCTTCAATTCTCATTGTGAATTTAAGCCTTAGCCTTATAACAGTTACTCTGCTGATACGCTGGACCACATCGATGATGATGCTAATATGATGCTGATTTTCACTCAGTATGTGACTTTGTATATTCTGCATCTACTCAGGTGAGATGTTCATCCCGTTCTACACTGGCAGAGTCATCGACATCCTTGGCACTCAGTATCGGCCCAATG